AGGGAGATGCAGGAAGAGACTGGACAAAAATCGTGCACCTATGGACGAGGACAGTGGGTGGGGAGTGAGGGCAGAGGGTGGGGTGGGAACTGGGAGGAGGGGAGTTATGGGGGGCGGAAAGAGGAACAAATGTAATACTCTGAACAATAAAGATTTAATTTAAAGAAGAAGAAGAAGAAGAAGAAGAAGAAGAAGAAGAAGAAGAAGAGGAAGGAAACCCAATTTTTCAAAATGGGCAAAAATTTGAAGAAAAACGTTTTCCAAAATATTCTTACATACGGACATTCAGAAAATTTAGAATCAACATATTTATTTTTTCTTTATTGTTGAAAGTATTACATATATCCCTTTTGCCCCCATTGATCCCTTCTAGCCTGACCCCCACTCAGGCCTTACCACCCTATTGTCTGTGTCCATGGGTTATGCATATATGTCTACAAGTTCTGTGGTTGATCTCTTTCCATCCACACACCCTCCCCTGCCTTCTGAGATTCGGCAGCTGTTTCCATACGTGTATGTGTCTGGATGATGTAAACAAAGGAGGCCAAAAGCAATATCTCTTTCAGATGTTGTCTGGGTCATTGGTACTTCAGTTGCCACTTGCTGAGCTTTCTGAAATTCTTTTCCATACAAATCATATAACATCAGCCCCAACCATCTTATTCAGACCTTATCTAGTAACTGCTAGTTTTATAGCTTTCAATTGCTTTAGGGGAAATTGCTTTTTGGAGACAAGAAAGGAGTGTTATGATCTTTAGACTCAGATTAAATTACCTAAGTTTGAATGAGAATCCTGCAATAGACAGTTTACAACTTGATAAAAAATATATATTCATATAATTTTCTTATACAGAAAATAGCCTGACTTTTCACTATTGTTGAGAGTCCCTGCAAATAAGAAGGGTGTTTGGATTGTGGGAAGCCAAAATGTCAGTTATCCATTGTGAACAGTGATGATGAAACACAGATCATAGCTTTTGCTTTTGTACAATAAATATTGTCTGACTTAACATGGTATTAAAAAGACATACCGGATGTGCTGGCTGGATCATCAGTGTTTTATTTTTATGTTTTACTAGAGGCCCTGTGCACAAAATTCGCAGTCTGGGAAAGTAAATGAGTGGGACTATATCAAACTAAAAATCTTCTGCACAGCAAAAGAGCCTGGCAACAAAGCAAAAGGGCAACAAGCCAATGGGAGAAGATATTTGCCAACAACACCTCCAACAAGGGGTTAACATTCAAAATATATAAAAACATATACAACTCAACAACAAAAAAACCAAACAATCCAATTAGACAAATGGGTAGAAGACCTGAATGAACACATCTCCCAAGAAGACATATCAAAGACTAATAGATATATAAGAAGATGCTCAACTTCACTAGCTATTAGGGGAAAAAAATCAAAACCACAACGTGATGTCA